GTTGCGCGCCCATACCAGGTAAAAATAGATAGGTCTATTATCTTTTAAAAAAAAACAGACTAGATGTAATTTTGACTTTTCTGACTTTCAAAAACTTTGAAAATGTCACTTTTTTGACTTTCACTTTCCACCCTATAATCACAGTTTATACCGTACCGATACAGTTGTACAACTCTCCATATTTTTTGAGGCCAAATTCTCCGACCAGTAGGAGCATTTTGTCCCATATCTTGCGCATGCGCTCAATGAGTGAACAAATCTCTCAAATTGAAAAAGCAGTTCGGCATATACATGTCTCTTTCCAATCCTGCACGCAAAAAAGAGATAGAGATAGCTTGGGTGAGAACCCGCGAGAAATAACTGTCAAACGAGACACGCAACAGGATTGTATTACAAAAAAAGAAGAGAAGTTTTTTGACTGAAATTATTCAGGAAATTGAAAAGTAACCGGAAAATTCACCAATTTGAAATTCGACTTTGTTAAAAGTGTTTTCCTTTCCGTGTTATTCGTGATTTTTGTGTACTTGACTGTTTTATCGTTTATATATTGTGTATTATCATGGTTGCTTCCTGTTTTGTCTGTAAAAACAACACTAGAACTAGCCCAGGCTTAGGATATTTTAGTTTCCCGAACGATGAACGACTGTAAGTATTTATATTTACCTATTTCATATTAGGTTTACTCTATACATTCACATAATCTTTGTTTATTATTATATGATCCCGTTATATTCTCAATGTTAATCCACAAACAATTCTAGTCCGACTCTGTCCACGGCCCAGGATTCCTTGTCTCCGATCAATAATGCGCAAGCGCGAAATATAGGGACATAGAATTTGGCTTCAAAAAAATCTATGGTTTGTCAACGGAGTTGAACAACTGTATCGGTACGGTATAAACTGTGCTATAATTTTAGCAGGAGACAAACACTAATTTTGATGAAATACAAAGCACAGTTACACAGAATCTTTTATATTTACTAATGTCTTTCAATTTAAGAATGTTTGTTGAAGAAGCAACACGAGTGACTTCCCATTCTAAAACCCTAATAGATTATCTATGCTCAAATTTTCATTTTGACGACTTTAATTGCAACGTTATTCCAGCAGGTTTATCAGATCATCACTCAGTACTTACAGGATTTAGAATGGATCAAAAATCCAATGTTAAAATTAGTAAAATCGGTAGAATCTACAGCAGTAAAAAATATCAAAAATTTGGCTCACAATGCAACAGTTTGGACTGGAACTCGATTTTAAATAACCCAGATCCAATATTTAATTTTTACCAAACTTTAAAGCACTGTTTTAATTGTGCTTTTCCTCTACAAAGGATTAAGTTTAAGCGGAGAAAGTTATGGATTACTCCAGCGATAAAAGTATCAGCAGGAAACATGAGGTGCCTTCATGAAATTAGAAAGCTTCAAAAACATAATGCTTTTTTTGAAAACTACTTTCAAAATTATAGAAAAATTTACAGACAAGTTATAAGGGCTGCTAAACAGATATATTTTGAGCAACGACTAGACGACTCACAAAACAGAAACAGGGAAAACTGGGTAATAATAAATGAACTGAGGGGAAAACAAAGTAGGCTACTCACCAAGTTCAACTGTCGCCTAACGAACTGAACGATTTTTTCTGTTCAGTTTCAGAAAAATTAACGGAACAGTTGGAACAAAAGATAAATCCTTTAGAATACTTACCTGAAAAGATCACTGAAAACTTCCATCTAACAAACACAGACTTGCTTGAACTTAAAAACATTTTGAGGGACATAAAGAAGAAAAAATCGGCTGGAGCTGACGACATTTCAGTAAATACCATCATGGCTCTTCCTGATATGGCACTTCATGTTCTAGCTGAGGCGATAAACCATTCATTTCATACAGGAACTTTTCCAGAATGCTTAAAGACAGTTTTAGTGGTCCCCATTTTCAAAACTGGTAGTACATCAGACCCCTCTAATTACAGACCAATTTCTCTGTTATCAGCTGTGTCAAAGATCATTGAAAAGATAATCAAAAGCAGAGTAGTAGAATTTTTTGAAAGACATAAGGTACTCTCTGAGGTTTAATTTGGTTTTCAGAAAGACAAAGGCACCATGGATGCCATATTTAATCTTTTGGAGGAGGTATATACTGGACTAAATGGTGGCGAGGCTGTCGCGGTAGTATTTTGTGACTTTTCCAATGCGTTCGACTGTTATGGATCATGAAATACTACTGCGTAAGCTTCAACACTACCTATGGATTTAGGGGTACCGAACAAAGGTAAAGTTTGTTTCGCCAGGGTTTGTACTTGCCACCAGCATTTGCCTTCCTTGTTTAACAAATAAAAATTGACTGAAACAAATTAATGACGTCAAAAACGTTTGTCGGTTCTTAAAAGAAAAGTCATTCATTTTAATTTGTCAAAAAAATTGAATGTGTCATATGAATTAATCTACGACAACCCTTTTTTTTCAAGTTTCAAGGTCACGTATGAACCCTGGTGAAACGAACTTTACATACAATCTTATACTACTCGGAGAAAACAAGAAGTTAAAGTGGGGGAAAGCCAATCAGACACCCAAATTATCAACAGGGGTCAGTGCTGGGTCCTATACTGTTTAACGCTTATCTTAATGATATTACAAGAGTCCCTATTAGGGGTGCTTTTACTGTGTTTGCGGATGACAAAACAGTGCTGTGGAGAGGAAAGAACATAGACGAGCTTAAGGACGTCATCAATGAAGATATGGACTTATTGAAGAAATGGTGCAACAGCAATAAACTCTGTTTGAATTTCAAAAAAACAACAATTATGTCATTTGAGGAATATGCCGATATATTTTCAAACATTGTTTTTCGAAATACATATAATGCACAAAGAATTGATGTTGTATTTGATAATTATAAAGAAAATTCAATTAAAAACACAACCCGTCTAAAAAGGGGTTCAGATACATCGATTAAAAGAATTATTGACAGATCTGACGTAACTCTTCCGCAACAGTGGAATTTATTTATCCACTCTGTTTTTAATAAAAAACAGTTAACGAACTTTTTATCTGAACATCTGAGCGAGTACGCTCATAAAACGAATGTTATGTTTGCAACTAGTGGCGGATTTACTAATATTTTTGATTACAAAACAAATTGCGAATCAATAAACAGCACTCTACTATCCTCTAGTCACGAAGAAGCTGATACTAGGATTTTCTTGCATATACTCTCTGCTAAACAGTGTGGTTATTTGCGATGTATAGTGGAGTCCAATGACACTGATGTGCTTGTACTTCTGGTACATTTAAAAAAATAACTTACTCAAGAAATTTGGGTAAAATGTGGAAGAGGAAATTCAGTACGATATGTGGCCATCCATGATATCAACCTAGAGGAAAAACTTGCAAAAAATTTACCTGCATTTCATGCTTTAACAGGTTGTGATACAACCAGCCAGTTTTCAGGATTAGGAAAAGTAAAATGTTGGAAAACCTATCTTAGTTATTCTGATTATTTAGACAGTATTGGGGTCCAAGAATTTTCAGATGAGATGTTCAATAACATAGAGAAATTTGTTATAAAATTATACTCAACAAACCCCAACATTTCGTCAATTAATACTTCAAGGGCACTATTGGCCTCTTCATCGTTACTTGGAAAACTACCCCCTACAAAAAATAGTTTAAAATTTCAGTTTGAGAGCATATTATCAAACTAAGGTGTGGCTCTGTTCTTTATCAGAGGTGACAGAATGTGGTTCGAAATTTGAAGAGGCAGGTGATACACATGAATTATCTCCAATTTTGACGACACTTCCCGCATTTCCTTCGGATGGAAAAGTACTTATTTCATGCGGATGTAAAAAAGGTAAATTATTATTAGACTAAATAGGTACTTACCTAACTAAAATTAATAAAATAATTTTTTATTAGATTGTGGGAGCAAAACTTGTATGTACATGCAGGAAAAATGAGATAGTCTGTATAGGGTCATGCAAGTGCATGGCACAGGACCTATGTAAAAACAAACTTACAACAAGAAGAACATTGCTGGAAGGCAATACTGGGGCAAACTTTTTGCAAGAATAAAAATTTTTGATTTGAGTCTTCATTTCGGAGATAATGCGAGGTGAATGTAAAAATTAGTATATTTCAATCAGATTTTGCTCAGGTTTGAACGGAGATATTTTAACTTTTAGATTTCTTTCCCCACACACTTCGGTTTTAGAACGAGGTGTTTTATCGTGGCGGTGAAAACCGTCGTGTTTCATCGTAGTGTATGGGTCCTTAAGGGTCAATGTATTTGTGTAATTTGTACAAAAATATAGATAAATTATATATGAGAACATTCATAAATTAATATTCTATACGTTCATGCAATAATGTCAATTTTTAAATATGTATAGTGCCCTTTTGCCCGTTCTGATTTTTTATTACCTTGGAATTTTGAATAAACATAATGAAACCTTCATTCTGTGAAAATTTCAGCTTGTAGCCCCGACGCGCCCACAAAACTCATTTTTAGAAGGCTTTAACTGTGTTGGGCATTCTACTATCAGTTAATTTGAAGCCGCTGAACTTAGCATGTGGCAGAGGAAAAACAAAAAGATTGAGAAAAAACATCTACATTTAGAATTTAGACGAAGGACAGTTAATTTAGACGGGTACTAGTTACAATTCTAAAAACATAAAACGTTAAACATGAATTAAACTAATAAACTTTTCTGATCAAAATTTAGCCTTTGTTTTAATTTTTCTTTTAGTTTTGTCTTTTAGATTTGTGGAGCCACTTCATATCATAATTTTAGTTTAGTTTAATAGTTTTATCCAATGTATCCGAGGGGCCTTAAATAAAGTGTGTGTTCAGTTCACAAAGTAGTTTTGCTCCCAGCCAAAACAGTGCACTTAAAATATGTATGGTTCTTGGACGTTACACAAATCTTAAGGATACAACATGTAGAAAGTTCATATTTTCAAGATTTCTAGGGAATTCTAAAGAATTTTGGTCAGGTAGGTTTTTTGAATTTTTTAATTGTTTCCTATTAATATAAGATGCTTTTTTTTTAAAAAAAAAGTTTGAAGCATGAGTGCATAAATATTTTAGTGAAACTGGAATAACTTTCTAGCAAAAAACAATAATATGAGGAATACAAAACAAACAAGTCTATCCAGTATACCTGGGTTCCAAAGTTTTGAAATATTTAGAAACCCAAATGCATTCGGATAAAGTTCAATTTGATTTAAATTCTACTAATTTCATGAGGAGACTAAATAAAAAACATAAAATCCTTAAATGATATAAAATGTATACTTGAATAAAATACCTTATTACAATAATGGATAATTAAGCATAACGTCCTGCCGAGCCAACTCGAGCAACATAGGATCGTCGAAGAACTTATTAATAGAAACGTCTTGACTCAAGCCTTTTCTTCTTCTGGTTTTGATCATGAACTCTCTAGCCAAATGGGTTGCAGGTTGTGGTTCTAGCGGCCTGATTATAATCGATTTGTCGAGAGGATCACCAGGAACAATCTAGAAAAAATAAAATAAAATAAGACAAGCTATTCTAGACACAAAATTATTTAAACTTATTTTTTATATATTGGTTTGGCTACTTGAAAAAATGTCCGAAATTCGAGATTTTTACCTAGTTTTCCATTTTGTCTTTATTATCAGGTGTCCCCATACCCATTATTGGTCCCAAATCAATTTTTTCACAAATCCAAGGTTTTGGATGATAACAGGCAATATCGTGCCATTTGACACCGTCACGATAATAGAAATTATTCAAAACTGCTAAACAATTCTCGTGAGTACGTCTTTGATGGTACTCACGATCGTCTGGTTGGGACAATCCCATTGCCCCGTTCTCAGACCAATTAGTTTGGTTTGACTGGGCAGGGCCAATCTTTTCTTTAGTAGCTGCCCAAAACCACATTTCACCTTCATCCAAATCTAATAGCTGGCTACAACCATGAAAGTTACATCTCATACCAGAAGTCCAAAATTCTTTCACATTATCTTTCAGCATTATATCAGCGATATATAAACTTTCTTTATGAGTTTCTAAGGATATTAAGTCCATGCAAGCATTGTCCCAGCACCATTTTCTAGCTGCCCGCGGATGTAATACAGCATTTTTGGTCGAAGGATTTCTCCAGCTGAAGAAATAGGCTGTTTTTTGAAAACTAGAGTCGTGAACAGGTTGATTGTAACAAGCAACAGGTAATTCACGATTTATTTGAGAAAATGGATTGAAAAACTCTTTATATCTAGGGTCCAAGAATAATTGTGAAATTGCGCTTTCAGGAAAAGCGAAAAATATGAAAATGATTTGATAAATTGAAAGTAATGAACACATTGTGTAGAAACTAGCAGAGTCACACAAAACACTAAACTAAAGATGCATTCATTCTCAAAATAAAAATGTTTGCTTGAGGGCAAAAACAAATTGCATGATCAGTCAAAATGTGTTAAAATTGATTTAACAATTAACCAAATGTATCTAACGCATATTGTGTAGTTGATTGACTTTTTTTATATCTACAGATCAGAATTACCACTCCCAAAACGCCCTTTTTTAGAGGTACCAAATTTCAATAAATCAGTATGGTTACTAAAATAAGAATATTGTGCAGTTTTTCTTGTTCCTTAAATATTTGCATTTTATTCCGTATCAATATGAAATTTAGATATGTAGTTTTTTTTTGTTCAACCAACATTTTTGTACCTTTTATAGGACTTCCTCTTTATTTATTATATTATATTATTGCTTTAAATTGCAGATAAAATGTACCAAATATCAAGATTTGACTGGATTAAATCTGTGTAAAGTATTAGAAATAGAAAGATATTTGATACATAGATACATATTATATAAATGAAGAATATTTTTAAAAAATTGATATATGTATTTAAGCCTTTTTGAGATGGATTTTTCCTTGAATTGATGCTTGAAAATTTTTCCCTGAATTATTAGTTTTAAGGCAGATGAAGTGCATATGTATATATACAAATCGCCTTCAAAACGTTCTTCGACATTTTCTGATGCCCAGTCGCCATTGAAGAGGTCCTCTTCCAGTCCCCAATCTCTTACCTCCTTGTCTATCCCCTCTTTCCAGCTATTTCGTGGTCTTCCCCTTTTTCGTCTTCCTGCTGGATTTCAATCAAGAATCTGTTTTGGCAGTCTCTCATCAGACATTCTTTGTACGTGGCCATACCATTTTAGCTATTATGTCGTCAACGATTGTCCTATTTATACATATGATTTCTCGAATTCTGTTATTCTTTCCGCTCTAGATTTTCCTGCAGCACGCCTCCAGAAATCCATTTCTGTCGCTTCGAGGGTACGTACGGTTCTATCATTTAGCTGCCATACTTGGCTTCCATAGGAGAAAATGCTTTGAACAATTGTGTTGTATATTCGGTGTTTATTGGTTTTAGAGAAATGGTTGTCCCATAGAACACTGTTTAGCATAGATATTGCTTTTCTTCCTTGAGCATTTCTATCTTTAATAGCTTCATCTAGCGTCCCACTACTTGACATCTTCACTCCCAAATATTTGTATTTTTCGCAACCTTCAATAGTTCGACCATTATCCAGTAGCAGATTTTGTTGGGGTCCGCTGACGCACATGTATTCGCTTTTAGATATATTAACCTTTAGTCCCCATTTGCTATATTTTTCAACTAGCTTTCTGGAAGATTGTCAATGTCTTGCGCCATTACCACTTGATCGTCTGCGAAGCATGTATAGATCTTAAGATGGCGTTGTCGTTAAGCGAGCTATATTGCTTATACATTTACGTTTCCATTGTAGCAGCGCTTTTTCTAATAATATTTTCAAAAGTGTAGGAGGAGACAAACAACAACCTTGCTTTAAGCCTTTCTTTGTGAAGAAACTGTTGGAGAGTGCGTTTCCAACTTTTATTCTTATATGAGAGTTTTTGTAAATTCCCCTAATGGCTTTAATTGTCGTTATATTGATGTTTGTTGTCTCCAGGGCTTCCCACAGTTTAACCATTGGAACGCTGTCGTAAGCTTTTTTAGGTCTACGAATAATAGGTGGGACTTCTTTATTAAGGGGATTGAATTTAGATATATGGTTGTCCCATAGAACACTGTTTAGCATAGATATTGCTTTTCTTCCTTGAGCATTTCTATCTTTAATAGCTTCATCTAGCGTTCCACTACTTGACATCTTCACTCCCAAATATGATATGGCTGCAAGGGAAACTAAGCGACTGCGTGGTGAAGTATTTCATTTAAAGAGCTGCAGAGTAGCCCATGCTGAACAAATGAATGCGGGAAGACATAATGCAAAAGAGAAAGGCGACGTAGTTACTCCCCCTAAGAATAATATATTCATCTTGGGTGATGGTTTGGCGAAAGGTTTCAGGGATATTGTGGAGCGATGTATGGGAAAAGAGTATCACGTTTCGGCCTTAATTAAAGAAAATGCGTTACTCGATGACGTTGTGAAAGAGGTTTTTAATTATACACGTCATTTTGACAAAAAAGACTATGTGATTTTAATGGCTGGTGTGACAAACTTAGTGAAGGGAAGACATATTGAAGAAAAAACTATACAGACTATTAAATCAGTTGGTAAATACACAAATGTTATAATTTGTTCTGTTCCCCTATGGAAAAATAACACATTAGTCAATAACTTTATCAATGAGTACAATAAAATGATGTCCAACAGGTTATGTAATGAAGACATGAGTAATTGCTTTCTGCATTTCAATGCCTTTATAGGAAATAAAGACATTTACTTTAATTATAATAATAATAATTTATATATTAAATATAGAGGCAAGGTAAGGATAGGTCAAGCAATACGTAAAAGGGTCTTAGATTTTATAAATAAAAATTTACACAAGAAAAATATGGAGAAGGAAATTATAGACATAACAGAAATTTGTGACTCGCGGTCAAATGCACAGGAACGCACCCCTCCTTTTTTAGAGCAACTTCAGCTCAAGGAAGCCTTGCTCTAGTATTACTTAATATCCAGTCTGTGAAATAAGGTTGATGAATTGGTGTTATTTTTGGAGTCTTTGAATTTTCCGGACATCGTTGTTTTGGTGGAACACTAGCTTAGATGTGATGAACCTCTTGGATTTGAGAATTATGCACTATTGTCGAACTATTCTCGGAAGCAGTATACACATGGTGGAGTGTTGATTATGATGCAGAATGACTTTCTCAGCAGGTTTGAGTTTACTTCAATTGAGAGATTTGATCATCTTTTAGAAGAAAGAGTTTTTGAAGTTTCTGTTGTGTATTGTAGTCGTTTTAACTTGTATGTGTTGGGGATTTATAGATCTCCTTCTGGGAATATTCAATCATTCATTGATAAACTAGAATCTCTTTTGATTGAAATTCCACTTAACGCTAACATAGTTTTGTCTGGTGATTTGAATATAAATTTTTTTGACAGGGACAATAGATATAATCAGTTGCTGTGTAACTTGTTGGATTCTTTTAATTTATGTATGCATGTCGATCAGCCAACCAGACGTACAGCGTTGTCATCATCTGTCCTGGATTATAATGCTCCAACATTGATGCAGACTTGGTGGCGTGTAATACTACTAATGCTGGGTTGTCTGACGATGAGGCTGTACACTGTTGTATCCCGTTTGGAGTACACACTGAGCATAAAATAAGACGAGGTAGGCTGTATACAGCAAGGAACTTTGAAAGGTTCAAACTGTTGTGTGCACGGTCTGACTGGAATGGTGTTCTTGCCACAGACGACTCATTGGTAACGCTCCACGCTATTGTTCATAACAATTTTAATACATCCTTTCCAATTGTTAATTTAAAAAAAAGAAAACGTAAACCTTGGTATACCCAAGGATTGCGTATCTCTGGGAAAAATATGCGTTCTCTTCACTACATAAGAAAATATTCCATGAACAACCAAGACTTCACTCAGTATTTTTATAGGTATCGCAAAATTTACCGAAATTCCATAAGACAGGCTAAAGACGTATTACCGTGATAGAATCAAAAATTCCTCCAACACATCCAAAGAATCGTGGAAGATTGTTAGTGACTTATTGGGGAAGAATAATAATAAAAAGGTAGTTATGAGCAAGTTAAAGGCTAATGATCTTAACCACTTTTACTGTAACATTGCATCCAATCTAGCCGCTAGTATTCATCAGCCGCTTGATCCTAGGGCTTATCTAGAGCACATTGTGGTAGCTGAAACATTCCTTTTATCCCCAACATCGGTACAAGAGATTAAAGAAATTATTTACGAGATTAAAAATAAGAATACATCGGGTTGGCATAATCTTTCTTTGAAGGTTGTGTCTTGTTTGCCTGATGGAGCCTTGCGAGCTTTCACAAGAGCTATAGATAGTTCGTTTCTGTCGGGCGAATTTCCTGTGTGTCTCAAACAAGCTGTGGTTATTCCCTTGCATAAGGGTGGAGACCACGACACGCCGTCAAACTTCCGTCGTATAACGCTGCTACCTATCATGGCTAAAATAGTAGAAAAGCTTGTGAAGAGAAGG